CTTTTTATTATGTCCACATGCCACATCATTACACATATTTCAGTTTGCCCACATCATGTCATATTACCCATATGCCATCCTGCCTACAATTATTTTGGTTGGCCTCTCGTTTATTATGCCCATATCATGCCACACTGGCTTTTCAGAAGCCCCTCCTCACTGCAAGATACATGAAAGCCTATTTGGAATTGGCAAAAAATCCCCTAAAGACTGTGATAAACAAGATCCCCTGATCTGATGAAATGCAGATTGAATTGTTTTGCCTCCATTTAAATCTTCATGTCCGGGGAAACTAGGCACAGGTCATCAGCGGCCCATCACCTGCACAATACAGTTTAAGGGTCTGAATAAATTTGCCAACGTGATATGGCAGGATTGTCTATCTAATATATTTGCAATGGTGTCAAATATGATTTTTTTTTTTGCTTTTTCATAATGGGATATTGCATGTAGATTGATGTGGGAAAAAATAAACAATTGTAACATAAGGCTGCAATATTAAATTATTTTTTTTTAAATTAAGGGTTAGAAACATAGAATGTAACGGCAGATAAGAACCATTCGGCTCATCTAGTCTGCCAACTTTTCTAAATACTTTTATTAGGCCCTGGCCTTATCATATAGCTATGATTGCCTTATGCCTATCCCACGCATGCTTAAACTCCCTCACTATGTTAAACTCTATCACTTCAGCTGGAAGGCTATTCCATGCATCTACTACCCTCTCAGTAAAGTAATACTTCCTGAAATTATTTTTAAATCTTTGCCCCTCTAATTTAAGACTGTGTCCTATTGTTGTGGTAGTTTTTCTTCTTTTAAATATAGTCTCCTCCTTTACTGTGTTGATTCACTTTATGTATTTAAATGTTTCTATCATATCTCCCCTGTCTCGTCTTTCCTCCAAGCTATACATGTTAAGATCTTTTAACCTTTCCTGGTAAGTTTTATCCCGCAATCCATGAACCAGTTTAGTAGCCCTTCTCTGAACCCTCTCTAAGGTATCAATATCCTTCTGAAGATACGGTCTCCAGTACTGTATACAATACTCCAAGTGAGGTCTCACCAGTGTTCTGTACAATGGCATGAGCACTTCCCTCTTTCTACTGCTAATACCTCTCCCTATACAACCAAGCATTCTGCTAGCATTCCCTGCTGCTCTATTACATTGTCTGCCTACCTTTAAGCCATCTGGAATAATTACCTCTAAAATCATCTAAAATAATTACCTCTATGAATGCATTCTTATTATTTGTATTATTGAAATGAATGTATAATTTCTATCAGTCCTCCTTTAATGATTACAAGTCTAGATTTTTGTTCATAGATTTGCATGCTGTAACATTATTGTGTGGTGTTAGAGAGAGTTATTATCTCTGACAAACACACTTATTTCCTGTTAATAAAATATGTCTGCATTTGAGCATTCTAACAAAATAGTGAAAACGTTTTCCTTGTTTAGTTTACAGGATTAATAAAGTATGGTTTTAAATCTGGAAGTTATAAATAAATCTCCAATATTGGTCAAATCTAACTATTTAATTAAATTTGAATAATAAGGTAGTCTGCAGCATAGTCTGCATTTCTCTGGCCTTTGATTCTTCTTTTTAACTTTGAATACTGCAGGTGACATGCTTTGTAGTAGTAAGAAATTGAACTACGTCACAGAAAAACTGTTAGTCTTGTTTTTGCAAAGTGTGAGCTATAGCACATAGCATAACTTACACTGCCGTTAATGTAGTAATGCAGGGCTTTCTTAAAGGGGTCTTCTTCTCAATGAAGTGGCCTGGGTGCAGCGCCCCTGTAGTTTTAACACTGCAAATGAAAAAATTGCCGCAAACATATTGCAGAAACGGTAATGTTTTCATTGCAGGGTTAACACAGCGCCTCTAGCGGCCTTTTGCAGCTATAACCAAGTTAAACCCTGTTATAGATCAAATTAATCTACTAGAGAAAGTTTGATTGGTGCAAATAAGTGCTTTGCAATCTGGGCTAAACACCCAACAATGAAAGAAAGACAAAATAACGAAAAAAGAAAAAAAGAGTAAGGTTAAGGAGAGGGGGAAGTGACTATGCAACCACAGGATCGTAGGATATGCATAAAGAAACCAAAAGAAGTACTGCAGATAAATTAGCTTGTGTAGTCCTCCAGTAGCCTCAGATCTTAGTGTAGGTTGTCACAGTATTATGTACATGGCTTCTCAGCTTGTCCATCGACTTATAGCCATTGTTCATAGCTGTTACATACTGGAAGGAGTTGAATCTCTGAACCAGACAGCCATCAGAGCTCCTCTTGAAGCAAGGTTAATTGTATTGTATAAAACAACACAATTTACAGCTATTTCTTACAACAAATGTCATATAAAACAACTTCAGTGAATTTCATCATTATTCAAATTATTTCTTCAGGATTAAAAAAATTTAAATACCAGGAACTGGATAGCACATTTATATCTTACCAAGTTTTTTTATCTTCCCCCATTACCCCATATTATCTTCAAATATCTCTCTGATTGGCTAAAAGTCATCCAAAATGGCTGTGCTTTCCAGCGTGGAGCACACAAAACACTGCACTTGGCAAGTAACCCAATAGTGAATGACCCACGTTTCAGCCATGGAACTCAAATAACAGATGTGTTCCATGATATTTCACACATTAACCAATCACAGCTGTGAGTGTAATGCAATCCAAAGATGCCAGTTCTAATCCTCTAATGAAAAGAATGGCCATGTGTTCCATACATGTAAAATGGCCGTGCGTATAATGAATGAATGGAATACTCGGCCTAAGCAATCTCAGGTTTCAATCTTGAACACACAATAAAATAATTATACAACTATCCTTCAAGGAAATTATAATCAAATAAAAGCCTTTTACTAGTAGCAAGTAACAAGAATGGTGGTATCAAACACTGTGGAAAAGGGCATGCTGTGAATACAAGCGTTTAACTTAGGAACACCTGCAAGACTGGTGAATCCTTTGATTCTATGTGACCTTAAGCAAGCTTTGCACTTAAATATTTATTTCTTTACGTTATTGTAGAATAAAATTGTCAGAGCTTTTACATATTCACATTTTGGGCATTTTCTGTTTCTCTGTGTAGTTGTTGTATGTTATTTATTAAGTAACTATTCCTCTTGGAATGTGAGATTGCTTTCTCCCCATACCTGCACCGTCTTAAAGTTGCCTGTTACTAATGATATGGGTGAAACAGAGAGTTAATGTTATTTTAGGAGTGCTGAAAATAGGGCAATTACTTTTTATGTATCCTATAGTTTTCTTATTGCATAGTTTGTGATTATGGGTAGGGAGGCCCTCTGAAAAGAATGTGTCTGAAAAGAATAGGTGTCTGAAACAAATGAACAATGGAGCGCATTGGCCACATGTGGATGTTTGTGCCATTGTGTCCACATCCTCCCCAGCATAGATCAGTAGTGATCTTTCTCATTTGAAAATGCAGACCTAGAGTGGTATTATACCATTTAAACATGGTTTTGTAGAGTTGTTATTGTAGAGTGATGCACATGGAGAGTATCGAGGCTGGCTCTTAAATGTCTTCCTATACCTCTCCCAACAATTGTTTTTGGTGGCACAAATAGTGCAGCTAAGTAGTTTATTTTTTAATGGTTTGACTATGTATGTGGGTCTGCCAGGTGCCACTCACCACCTCCCGCAGTGCAGAACTTAGCTCATTGGCTAAGAGCGATCAGCTAACACTCTCATCCATGCATGGCTTAGCTCAGAAAATAGAAGCCCCTGCTTAGAAGTAGAGGCAGGGAGCAGTGCGTGGTGAACCACTGGTAAAGAAGTCAAACAATTCTAACACGGTATGATTACTTATAATGGGGGGTACCAGGGCATTTCTGGCACCATAACCACTACAGGTGGAGTTTTCCTTAAACAAAAATGTAAAAGGTGTTTGAGTATCAATTATATTTAAATCTTTGGGTGGCTGCTGCCATTTAACAACTGATATACTGGAAAAACCTTGAACCTGCAAGTATGTAAAATAATCATCACCATCCAAGTGGGTGACTGGCTTTAGTGCTTTTAAATTAACTACATGCAGGCTAGCATAACATAGGGGCATAACAGTGGACATACTTCAGAACTCTAGCATTTTATAACATCTGACTCTCATTTCCAGCAACATAAATTCTGTTTTGCATGATGTGGTGAAAGTCAGTGGAAATACGCCTTTCAACTTATCCCAGAATGCCTTGCTCCATTTCCCAGGGGAAAACATACCATGCATCAAAGTCTAAACTTTGAGATTTTTTGCATATTCTGTACCATAGCTGTGTTCTGTTGGGGGGGGTCCAGGGGCGGACTGACCGGTCGGGCACTTCGGACACGGTCCAAGGGCCCGGCCGGGAGGGGGGCCCGCCGCCAGGGCCGCCTTCAGGGGGCCCGGCGGCAGGGCTGGATTGGGGACTTCAGCGGAAGGTGCCACCGGGTGGCCGGTCCGGTGGCACACTGTGAGGGGGCCGGCCGTTTCATGCTGGAGCCGCCGGACCGAGCGGCAGCCTCGCCGGTCCGGCGGCATT